TTGCTGAGGGTGCACTCAATCCCACTGTCCATGTTGCCAACAAAGATGTTAGCGAGGGTCTTAATACCGACCCCTGAGGAACACCACTTGTCACTGGTCTCCACTTGGACTTTGAGCCATTGACTGCAACTCTTTGAGTGCCACCATCCAGCCAATTCCTTATCCACCGAGTGGTCTATCCATCAAATCCATGTCTCTTTAATTGAGACACAAGGATGTTGTGAGAGACAGTATCACATACTTTGCACAAGTCCAGGTAGATGATGTCAGTTTATCTTCCCTTATCCACCAATGCTGTAATGCCACTGTAGAAGACCACCAGCCTTGTCAGGCATGATTTCCCCTCCGTGAAGCCATGTTGGCTGTCACTAATCGACTCCTTAATTTCCTTGTGCTCTAGCACAGTTTCCAGGAGGACCTGCTCCATGATCTTGCTGGGCACAGAGGTGAGACTGACTGGCCTGTAGTTTCCTGGGTCTTCTTTTTTTCCCTTTTTAAAAATGGGGGTTATGTTTCTCCTTTTCCAGTCAGTGGGAACTTCACCTGACTGCTATGACTTCTCAAATGTGATGGATAGTGGCTTAGCCACTTCATCCACCAGTTCCCTCAGGACCTATGGACATGGGACTTGTGCACCTTCAGGTTCCTTAGATGATCTCAAACCTGATATCCTGCAGCGGGTAGTTCCTCATTCTCCCAGTTCTCGTCTTTGTCTTCTGCAACTTGGGCAGGGTGGCTGGAGCCCTTGCCTAGGAAGCATTCAGCTGGGAAGTCAGTTCAAGCCCTTCTTACAGAGCAGGGGTTACTTGTCTCTTGGCTGGAAGGGGAACACACTCAGCATTATTTCTACCTTTGTAATCTTGTGAATGACATCTCAGTTCTTTTGAGAGTCCAGCTCAGAAGTCAGTGTAGCAGCTATAAAAAATTCTGCAGTGAGCTGTTTCAGCATTTCTAATTCTGCTGTACACATATACACACCTGACGATATTCACTAAATTTGATCAGAATATATTGGTACTTGAAGTCATAATTTTCAGCAAATACATGACTTTCCAGAAGAACTTTATCCAGCTTTAAGGAAAATATTCCATAAGAAAAGGCGAAGGTGTACCGGTAACTTAGATCCTAGTGGCTCTGGATTAAGCAGGCTTTGTGGGCTGATCAGTCCTATGCTGCACTTGTCTCTGTTACCTCAGTTTCCAGTCAGCTCTTAGACCTTAAAACGTTCATCAAAGTTCTGATTTAGTGGTTCACAGCCTCTGTCCTTCAGAAGTTCAGATCGGCCATTTCAGTCACCTCTCCCGAGCACCCTTAAATTCCCATTTTATGGCAGGCCAAGCACTATCACCCCAAGATAAAATCTTTTCCTTTCTATTTTGAGGACATTTTCCTGCTTTCCTGTGCAGGATCCTGGAGCTTGAATAAAGGAGAATGTTCCCTGGAGAGTTGCCATAGTAACCTGTGGTGTTTTTTTGTTGTGTAAGATTAAATATAAGCAAGGGAGAAATTACGAAGAATTTTATACCTGAGTTTATCATCTTTGTATAATACTAAATATGAAATGTACCACCAACTTCCTAAAGCAATAACAGTCACCTTGAGGCTGATGTCAAGTTGATAATTTTCACTGGAAAAGAAATTAACTGCTGTATATATTATTCAAGAACCCTGATTAGAAAAAAATATTTCCACATCTGAAAGATGTAGCAAATAGGAAAGAGAATGAGATCATTAGAAATGTAAAGACATGGGAGTGGGAATAGCTGCTACAAATAATATCTAAACTTGCAATGCATGAATGCCCTTCATATTCTATTTTCTTCTTAATAAGGTTCAGTGATAGTCTGCTCTTAAACTTATAGTCAAAGAAAAACTCCAAACCCATGTTGTCCTTGGAAAATAACTTTAGGTCTCATAGTGCATACAAGGAAGTGATTTTTGAACATATCAATACCAGTTCAGCAACAAACCTAACCTGAAGATTTGGAACAAAACCAAAATTTGTTTTAAGAGGGTGTGATGGAGAAAGAATCCACCCAAACTGCTCTCAGTTATGAGCATCAAAGGCAGATCGGGAAGTCTGGGATCAGGAAAGGGCATGAGAGCTGAGCTACTGGAAAGGTCATTTCCGTAAGAAATAACCCGAAAGCACAATGCTGGGAAAAATCAAAGGCAATCCCACTGGAAGGAGCGCAGAAGTGGGTTGTGTAAGGAGGGTGTGCAGGAGCTCCCAGCCCCCGGTGTGGAGGGGCTGGCTCTGGGGTGAAGTCCCTGCCAGCGCTCGCATCACAGTCGGTCCCTCTGTCCCCCCGCTGAGCACCCCCGGCGCCCCCGGACACCCCGGCAACAGCAGGACCTGGGAGCAGGCTGCCTGGCAGTGGCCCCGGGGAGAGGGAACACCACCAGCCCTCGTGAGCCAGGTGAGCACGTGCTGGGCATGTAATTTAGTGCTGCCGAATTATTCAGCCAGGCTCGACTTCACGTGGCTCCCCCCCAGCCGGCTGCCCCGCTCGCCCACCCCAGCTACCCAGCATTTCCCGGGATTATTTAATTCAGAGATGAGGGGAAAATTACGTGGGAGATGGGAGAACTTGATGCGCATCTCTGAAGCCTGGGTCAATGTCTTCCCTGCAGTGCAAAAGAGCTGACAGAGCTGCTGTCAAGTTTAATTGTCCCCAAGATAATGTCTTTCAATGTTGTATATATTATAGATTTCCGTTTATCCTGAAAACTTGCTGTTTAGATACTTTAAATATAAGTGACTTTAACTCTAGCTGCTTGCTCATGGTACACAGTGGTAGGTGGGTCTGGGCTTATAATGTTGGATGTTTTCTGCTTCTCCTCTGCATATTTAGGGGTCCATTCCCCCCGTGGCTGATTTACCTCTCCACCTTGGGGCTGTTGGTGGAAACAACCGGACTGGGGACCCTGAGGGAACAGGATGGGTCAGAAAGGTTTGTGGGGTAGAGGGTGCAAAGGATGGAGCGATATATGGCTCTGAACATGGCATAAGTGAAAACAAAAGCCTCCAAAATTTGGAGTTTTGGGGCAAACCTCTTTTAGCATAGGAACAATATTATGAAAACACACGCCCGGTGTGAGATAAACCAGCTAGTGATGTAGAAGATAACCCTGAAGGTCAGATGGAAACCCTATTGCAATAAAATTGATACTGCAAACAGAGCGACATTGCAATTGCCCTATCCTACATTAAGGGATTTTAGATTTTAACTGCAACTGATAATCCTCTGAGATTTTGGACAAGCTTAGGAAGGGGGTGAAGGAATCATCTATGGACATTTGTTCTCAGAAGTAACCTGAAAGAGCCTGGAGATGCAGTGCTGTGTGGTGGAGATGGCAGGGGAAGCGTGTTGCAGCAGGTTTTGGCAAGGAGAGGGTGAAAATAAGGCAGAGGGTACACAATGTGAGGGCAGAGCTGGAGGGTATGAGGAGCTTGGGCATGGTGGTCACCTTGTGTCTAACACTTGAGGCAAAGACATGGGGGAAAAATTCATGAAGATGAAAGTCTCCTCACCAATGGAAAGGCAGAACTGGGTTTCTCAAGGGACAGGAGGGCAGCTGGGGGATCTCAAACAGGGGAGAGGGGTATACCCGGGTGAAATTTGACAACCAACTTATATATTTATTTATATTTTAAAACTAGAAAAAGACACATGTGTGCTGTTAGAAACACTATGCAGAAACCCTAAGAATTCCAGCAATTTCATTATTAAAAAAAGTTAAACTGATGTTCAAATTCCTTCAAATTTAATTTTGGTAAAACCAGCAGAAAATAAGATTTTATATGGCACAAAGCAGATTTTTTTTGTGTGGTCATTTTTTTTTTTGTTTGTTTGTTTGTTTGTTTGATGTAAAAAGGCTGAAATCCTTAATTTTCTCAGGTTTACTCATGACTAGAAGGTGATTTAGATTGCAACATTTTGGGTAGAGGGAAGGAGGGAAGAGTACTGAGCAGATAAGTCTAAGGTTTCTGTGACTGAAATAAGTACTGGAGGTACAGCCCTGCAGTATGGATTTTAAAGAGATGGGTTTTCTGATGATGTGTATAAAGGCAGATGGACTGTAGGAAAGAGATGAGCAATCCCTACTGCAAGGCTAGAAAGCAAGAAAAATAACGGAGCTATCAAAGGATATAAAGAAGAGAGTGATGGGAGAAATGAGAAGATGGAGAATTATCTATGGGTTGTGACAGGTTTTGGAACAGAGTGATGGGAACTTGTCAGAAAAACATGCAAAGAGCAACAGAGCTCTCCTGGTCCCAATGTACCAGGGCTGTGGCTTGGAGTTTTAATAATTTGTTCATATTGTATCACTCAGTGCTCTTCCTGTTCACAGTTTGGTGGGTTTTAAGATCAAAAAGCATAACAGCCACCACATTTTTATGGCAGTCCATTAACACAGGCTACTGAGCATCAACAAGAAAAATCTGCTTTCAAGGCCAGATTTTCACTGTGATCCTTTAAAAAAGTTTTATTCTGAGAAGTTGGTTTCAGCCTCATAACAATTTTTAATTCATTTGTCTGTAAGTTTTTTGGGAACAGTCAATTCTGAGGCACAAAATATTCTTGCTTTTGACTCCCTTACACATCTGTAAAAGTGTGGTAGAGAGCTAAAAGGAGAGTCCAGAATTTTACAGTAAAGGTTGTGGTGCTGTCATAGAGCTCCTTTATCTATCAATGCCAATTTTCTCATCTTCTATAAACTGTGTTTCTGGTGTATCCCTTACCTTTCAGAGTCAAAGGGGCAACACAGTCGACTGTCGAAACTGATTTTTTTGCTTGTTCCTGTTGCCCAATGTACTTTAGTTCTGACCTTGAATTTTGACAGTAACTGTGCATTTATGTTCTCCGTTCTTTCAGTCCTGATCAATCTTCTTCAGCACTGCTGTGTCACCTGCTCCTCATCAGTGGACAGTGGTCTCTTGCAAAAGTCGTAGAAGAAGCCTTTTCACACAGTCCTCCTCAATTTACTAAAGAAAGACCATGTCTGCGTTTGATCTGATGAACCAGAACATGCAGTGTATAGAGCCTGAGATAGACTCTATTGCCCCACGGATTAAATTGAGGGATGAGATGTTTGCCTTTGTTGATGGCAAATGGGTGAATGAGATCTACTGCCAGCCACCTTTTATTCCCCACCATAAACTCTTTAGCAAGAAGGCACAGAATGAGTGGAACATCTGGGAACAGAATAGAGCACTTTGGGAGGAAAACCAAGTCCTCTGGATCGAAAACAGGATGCTCTTGGAAGAAAATAAGGCTCTACAGTGTGTCCAGTCACAGAACAAAGCTGTCCAGGTTATTTACACTGATGCCCCGCAGCAAATCCTCCAGAAGGAAAATAAGCCATTCCCATTCTTCCAAGAGAGGAACATAGGCTTTCAGGTCAGCCCAGCTAACAGAGCTCTCCAGAAGGTCCAGGAAATTAATAGAGCCTTTGCGGATTTCCAGCAGGAGAATAAAACAGTCCCCATCATCTGGAAAGACCAAAATTCTACCACAGACCATGAAGAGAGCAAAGATGACAGCTCAGATCTTCAGGACACCGATGTCATCACAGCTGTGGAAGAGGGTAACCCTGGCCCAGATCCCCAGCAGGAACATGAAACTAAAACCAGCACCACTCCAACCCAGAATAAGATCAAATCTGCCCCAAGCACACAGGGTGAGCGTGAAATCCTCCGGGCTCTCCAGGACTTATACAAACTCCTCCACATCTTCCTGAAAGTGAACAATCTCCTTGGGGAGAAACAGGGCTGTCACATTCTCTATGATGTGAACAGACCCTTCCAAGAAGAATACAATAAGCTGAAGCTGCAGATGAATGCTGTGAAAAACACTGTGTCAGACATTACAGCTCAAATGGAAATGCTGGAAAAGGAGCTCAATGCCATCACTTCCCCAGTGTATGAAGAAGCAGGACAGGAGCATCAGCTTGGAGAGATGTGAAGCTTGGTGACAAGACCTGCTAGTCCAGTTTACTGGAAAGCCTCTCTTCTTGTTTCAGGGAACCTAATAAAATCCCAGTAGAGCCTGAAAGCATCTGGGGAACATTGTGTTATTCTGAAGCTTCCTTACATTACTTAGATGTATTTCACCTAGTGATTATACAGTGTGGGTGATTCATGAATTTGTCTAGTGTCAGGAAAACATGGTTTTCAGCATTTTTTTTTCAAAGTTTCTGATTAATTCTTAGATTTTCAAAAGATAATTCATGCTTTTCACACTTAATTTGAGGCACCTTATGTTGGCCATATTTTTTCCGAGGGATGGACACTTCCTGAAAATTAGGATCCCAAATTTGAGCTGAATTTGGATCCCTGGTGGTCCCTTTCTTTCTTGTGGTTGACCAAGTTCAATGGCTGAACTGTGTTTTCTACCACACACCACCCTTCCCTTTCTCATACAGGGGAGGCAGTAGATCATGTAAAATGTAGCCTCCTAGATGAGATAGGCCTATGAGAAACAATGGGACACAGAAAAACCATATAACAGAACCATAAAGCAAACATCACCCATCAGAACCACACGACCCCTTCCACTTTGGTTATTTGTAAATTGCCTATATCATTTGGTACCTTAATTAGGTTTAATTCTTCTCAAATTGCCTAGTTCTGGTACACTTGAATAATCCTACTGATTTCAAGTGAGATTATTTTTTGCTGATAAATGGTACTTTTAGTATGCACTGTGTATAGGAAAGACTGCTTAGTGTCTTATTTATAGTTCACTGCTCAAAGAAAATTCCTGTAGGCTTTGGTGGTCTTTTTGGACCAGCTCTTCTTTGTGGCCAGGAATTAAGTGTGTCTTTGTCTTCAAACAATCACGTGTAGTTATGGAACTAACAGCTCTCTAGCCTGGAGGGACATTGATATTTCTAGTGGTATCACAGGGCAAGGGAAAGGGCAATGCCCTGCCCCTGTGCAGCAGAAGCCCCTGGACAGCTTTGTGCCTCTGGACTGTGTTTCTGAAATCTCCCATTGGACTTGGAGATTTGAAAGCAGGGCCACAGGTGCCGCAGTAACTTACTGTCATTTGCTGAGGACTGGGCTGGGGTAAGCATACTGCAAGGCTGAGCTCCGATACCCTCACCAGCCCTGCTCCAGCACCCAGCAGGTCCCCGTCGGCCAGACCACTGCAGGCAGGTGGGGAAGGGCTGACCTCCTCTGCACCTTGGTCCTGATGCCGCTTCTCTTGGGATTTTTATACTTCGCCCTTGCAACGCCTTTTTTTTTTTTTTGGAATGTCTGATTATTTCCCTCCTTTGTTTTAAATTGTGAGTAACATATCAACTCGGCAGTCCTTTTGACATGTGTTTTCTTCAGCTTTGCTTTTGTGTCTTACACAGTTTAGCAGCTACCTTACCGTCTTGCACACACACCAGCTGATGGGACACCTGCAGTTCACCTTTAAGCTGCTTTCAGCAGAACTGGCTCATAGACTGAAAGCTCAAAAATTCAGGCCCTGCCTCAGGGATGTGGCCCCAGAGAAAATGAAGGGAGGTCAGGGGTATGCCCTCACTTGTGATGGAGGGGCAGTGAAAAGAAAGAGTTGTCACACTCATGTGGGGCTGTGGGGTCGCTACTTCTGGGGAGAGATGCCTGTTTTTGCAACATCTCTCAAGTGTTCCATGCAACCATAGCCTGGAAGGGGTGGACAAGAAGACCACAGTGAAAAACATGAGTCCCAGCTCATAGTCTAAGGGCATACTCACAGACCTCTGTTACAAAGTACTGATGAATAAAGGAGAATCCCTCCTACCAGATATCACGTTGGGGCCGCAGGAATGAATAGAGAGGGCAACAGGGCCACATCTCCTGCACAAAGCAACGAGGTTCTTCTCCATTTCTTGAATAGTCAGATAAGGCAGGTTTTCTGCTGCTCCATAGCAAGCAAGTCAAAAGTAATATTTTGGTGGCTGTTCTACATCTTAATTTGGTACCTGGATGCATATCTGTTCACACTATGAATGGGCATGTCAGACTCAGGTGACCTGATGACACAGGAGATGGAAACCCTGTGGATATGCCCATGGTTAAAAAGTCTGGTCTCAATTGTGTGGCTGGAGTGTCTGGAAATGCATTTTCCTCTCTGCCTTGGACATCCCTGATGCAGTGCAATTTGTCACAACCTTTCAGGCAGAATACAGGAGAGTCTTTAGGTAATCTAACAAGACAGGCACAAGGAGACTTCCGCAGAGCAATTGTAAGAGCATTATTGTAAAGCAAAGGGCAGGTTATGGTGAGGTTTACATCTTTGCGACAGGACCTAAGAAGCAGCTTGTCACTCTAGTTTATATGTGTCTGTGTGATTTGGCACCAAATTACCTAAAGGCTGAATTATCTTTCACCTTGTATTTCACTCAGAGAACACCAGGCCAAATGCCAGTGATGACTGTTTATTTCAGAGGCTTAAAGTAAGGGATGTTTTCTTCTACCGTTAGAGCTTCAGGATACTGAGGGAATCTTCTCTCATGGTTGAAGGTAAAGGGCTGGCTCTCAGTGATTCAGGGGGAGGGAGGGATGTGTGTGTAAGGACCAGATGAGAAGAAGAGGACCTGGGGCAATGGCCATTAATAGAAGGATGTGCAGACGGCATGTTGCTCCTGCTTAATGACAGGATTACAACTTTATATAGATAAATACCTCAGCCGCGTGTTGGGGCACACAGAATCATAGAATCATTTAGGTTGGAAAAGGCCTTTAAGATCAAGTCCAACCATTAACCTAGCACTGCCAAGTCCTGCACTAAACCATGTCCTAAGTGCCACATTTACACGTCTTTTATATATCTCCAGGGATGGTGACTCCAACATTTCCCTGGGCAGCCTATTCCAATGCTTGACAACCCTTTTGGTGAAGAAATTTTTCTTAATAACCAATCCAAACCTCCCCTGGTGCATCTTGAGTCTATTTGCTCTTGTCCTATCATTTATTACTTGGGAGAAGAGACCAACACCCACATTGCTGCAACCTTCTTTCAAGTAGTTGTAGAGAGGGATAAGGTCTCCTGCGAGCCTGCTTTTCTCCAGTCTAAACAACCCCAGTTCCCTCAGCTGCTCCTTATAAGACTTGTGCTCTAAACCCTTCACCAACTTCCTTGTCCTTCTTTGGACGCACTCCAGCACCATAATGTCCTTCTTGTACTGAGAGGTCCAAAACTGAACACAGTATCTGAGGTGTGGCCTCACCAGTGCCAAGTACAGGGGTACAATCACTCCCCTAGTTCTGCTGACCACACTGTTGCTGATACAAGCCACGATGCTGTTGGCCTTCTGGCCACCTGGGCACACTGCTGGCTCATATTCCGCCACCCGTCCACCAACACCCCAAGTCCTTTTCTGCCAGGCAGCTTTCCAGCCACTCTCCCCCAAACCTGTAGTGTTGCATGGGGTTGTTGTGACCCAAATGCAGGACCCGGCACTCAGCCTTGCTGAACCTCGTACAATTGGCCTTAGCCCATCAATTCAGCCTGTCCAGATCCCTCTGTAGAGTCTTCCTTCCCTCCAGCAGATCAACACTGCCAACCAACTCGGTGCTGTTTGCAAACTTACTGAGTGTGCAGTCGATCCCCTTGTCCACATCACTGATAAAGATATTAAACTGAACTGTCTCCAATACTGATCCCTGGGGAACACCACCTGTGACTGGCCACCAACTGGATTTAATGCCATTCACCTCATCGGGCTCAGCCATCCAGACAGATTTTTACCCAGCAAAGAGTACACCTGTCCAAACCATGAACAGCCAGTGTTTATGCTTCTGTGCTTTCAGACACACTCCTTTTTCTCCTATCTGTCTACTTTCTTGTGTTTTAATATAATACTTCTTAAGAGGCAGGAAGGGGTCTATGGATACCCTAACACTGAGCTCTGCAGAGGAGTAGCAGTAGTGACAGGATTTGGTTGTGTGCTTGTATTTTGACAAGATTTGGTTGTGTCCTATTTGTTAGAATAAATAAACTGTTCCCTTGCCAGTGGTTGGGGCACTGACTCCTGCCATGTCCCTGTACATGGGCAGGAAAGACACACGGACATGCAGTTTTCCACCAGGTGCTTGGGAGAAGTCATCTCGCCTAACTTCAGGTGTCCAGGGAAGGTCATCCATATCTCAGCTAGTCACCTTGTGTTTCCTTTCTAGCCTGTAGGAAGAAATGGGCACCCTCAGGCTGTGATTTATCTGACCTCTCTTAGATATCCATTGTAGGATGGTCTAAGTCACCAGCTGGAGTCACCTGCTTCTCTATGTTGCCTCTAGAATTGCTTTGGGGGCAATTAGCTCCAACTTAGATGTTCAGTTTGGAACTCTCTGAGTAGAGGGGACTTGGCAGTCCTGAGCTGAGGAGGTGCTTCACCAGGTGCTTTGCCAGGTGGTGAAGTGGCACAAACTTGGGAACGTGTGCTGCTGGCCCCAGTCCTTGGCTTTGCTTTCTGTCAGATGCTTTCATTAAGCAGCTGACTCAGATCTCGCCATTGTGAGGGGAAATTATTACTTTGTGAATAAAATTGAGCTAGTTTGGGCAGAGCTTAATGGTCAGGAACACATGTAAGATCCTCAGGGGAAAACACTATTTTCCCTGAATGCTAACAATGTTCCTTGGAGGGTATTAGGTTTTGTGAGCCCTTCAGGCTTTGATCGCTGCTTTGGACCTTTGATCTTCCTGGTTATAAAAAGTCTATACCTGGTGGATGTTTTTTGGCATCTCTCACATAGAAGATGCATTGACTCATGCCTTAAAGGTTTCTCAAGTCTGTCACGTGCTGAGATAACAATGCCTGTAATGACTGCCTAGCCCCTAATCTTGCAGAGGATTGTGTTATAAGCAAACTCTTAAAACCCCAGAAGGTACCGAATCTCCAGTGTGCTCTTATTTGGTTACAAACCGGACAGAATTGGTGACGGTGATGGGAGAAGAGCAGGTGATCATGAGTCTTGCTTGGTCTACATGAG